TTCTTCTTCTTCTTCTTCTTCTTCTTCTTCTTCTTCTTCTTCTTCTTCTTCTTTTTCTTCTACTTCTTCTTTTTCTACTTCTTCATCTCCCCCCGTCCCCTCCTCCTCCACAATCCTCCTGCACCTCCTCCTCTTCCTCCTCCCCATCTTCCTCCTCCTCTGTCTCCTCCTCCTCTTTCTCCTGCTCCTTCTTTTTGTTGTTCTTCTTCTCTACTTCTTCTCTTAATAATATGCATTTGGTACGGTGGTACTCATAACCTCTCGAACAAAAGACACAGGTCCGAATCCCATATGGAAGAGATACTCAACTTGTATTTTAGGATTTCTGCTGTAATGTGGGTCATTATGTCCGGCTAGGCTTGACCGGCATGTTCAAAACAATTCACCTTATCAATAATGTAAATTGTATGGAATCAGACGAAAAAAATATACACTTAAAAGCATTACTGCCATTCTTGCTTTACCAACCCATCTCTTCCTCCTGGAAAATTTTCCCACTGCTTGTCCCATCTGAGTGTGCAACAATTCATCGTTAACTCTTTGAGCACGCGCATTCTGGATCTTCGGCAACGTGTGAAGACGCCCTGATTTGGGTCTCTTTAAATAACAAGCATAGCTTCGTTGTTCACATTTATATATTTCACTTTTATTTACTTTATCTGAAACTATAAAAGGCAAGAACACAATGGAATAATAATGTAAAAAGTTTTGTGTGTGTAATGGTTCGATCTAATGATGATGGAACGTAATAAATGTTTCAGTTACTTGAGTTACGTCCTCAAAAAATAAAAGCAGTGGTGTAAAAAGCGATAACACAAAATACTTCTTACTATGTATATCTTTTTTAAAAATATTTATTCAAACCAGTCTTTTCTCTATCTTAATCTTTCTATTGGTCTATATTTTTATTTAGTTTGTCAGTCACGTTTGAAACAATTAATTTACTCTAAATAGTTTAGCCTTAAGTAAAAAAAAAAAGATAATAGCCCCACCTGTGAGAAGAGAAAGTGGAACGTATTAGTCGGAAACGTCAGTAGAGTCGAACCCGAGCCTGATGTGTAGCTGAAGTCACACTCTGTGGCATAAGCTGTGTGTTCGTGTGTGTGTGTGTGTGTGTGTGTGTGTGTGTGTGTGTGTGTGTGTGTGTTCGAGTATGTGTGTTCGAGTGTGTGTATGTATGTATGTATGTATGTATGTATGTATGTATGTATGTATGTATGTATGTGTGTGAGTGTGTTTATTTGTATGTGTGTATGTGTGTAAGTGTGTGTATGTGTGTGTGTGTTGGTGTGTGTGCGAGCAGAGGAGTGTGAAAGAAAGTGCATTAGTTACGTTGGAAACAAGGAAAAATGGAGAATAGAGGCCTACGGGGGTGGGGGGTGGGGGGATATAAAAATGGCACCATGGTAAAAATGATAGATACTTAGATGGATATGAAAACCTATAGAATGTTTAAAAGTTGTTGAATGGCGTACTTTATTTTCTCTGAAAAATATGAACAACAAAAAAGGGATATACTTGATAAAAATGAATATAGAGCTCAGAAAAAGAACAAAACTATTTAGACATGAAGCCTTTTAGTACACATGAAACTTATACTAACACACATACCCACACACAGACAAACAAATGCACATACACACACAAACACGCACAGATCTTCCCTTTCTATTTCTAATACTCTCACGAATCAAATAATTTCTATGTCTGCAGAATCTTTGCATTAAGATAAACACGATAATCCTCATGATAATGATTTACAGAATCAAAGCAATTAAAGATGCTTACTGTTGGAGACGTCTGTCACACTGAACATGACTCCTCTGTCTAAGGGGTAGTTAGTACCAGTTCCCATCAAGCCGTTGCGGGGGGAGTCAGTTGGCTGTGGGTTGTCCTCCTGGAAGACTCTGCTGACCGACAGAGCGGAGAACGTGCCGTACACGCCGACCTGGAGATGGGAATTTAACCCCTAAGACATTTCCATACGTTTGTATAGACACGTGGAATGTTCATTTAAGAGAGATTTAAACAAATCTAAAATATTTTTACCGTCATTTAAGAATACGCAGCTGCAAACGTTGGTGTAAAATCTTCTCAAAAGTCTCATATTTACCAATTGAGGCAAACGGCATTGAACCAATTCAGGAGAATGCAAGCACATTTGCTGTTTCATCTACACAGTTACTAAGGGGGTTAAGAACGGCTGACGCCATGTTTGTGAGGACGCAAGAAATAAAGGGATCGGGTGGGGATACAACTTCCTTTTTAGATAATCATCAGTTGCGCTTCTTTCACATGCATCCATTTGGGGATGACTAAAGACAAAGTAGGACTCTTTTTCTATCATGGATTCTGTTCAGTTTAACGCCAGAGTAGATTATAATTCGAGAACTATACGCAGTGATCAGAGTATAAAGAAAGACAGAAAGAAAGAAAAAAAGAGAGAACGAGAGAGCGAGAGAGAAAGAGAGAGAAAGAGAGAGAAAGACAGACAGACAGACAGACAGACAGACAGAGCAGACAGACAGACAGACAGACAGACAGACAGACAGACAGACAGACAGACAGACAGAGAAAGCGATTTTAGGGCGGGGGAGAAATCACCAAAAAATCATTTTTTATTTTTGTTATGCTTAGATGAAACACGTTTTTAAAAGGTAGGTTTATATTACTTGCTATTTGAGATTGCTTCTGGCCTTGCATTGAGAAAGAAATACTCCTTCTACTTGTGCAGCACTTGGTTGGGACTTGAATTAAGCAACAGCAACAACATCAACAACAACAACAGCCACAACAACAACAACCACAACAACAACAACAACAACAACAACAACAACAACAACAACAACAACAACAACAACACACTTTATCCAAAAGAGGCGGTGACCCTGGCGAGAAACATAAGTTTCTCTGGTTGCAGATAGGGGCAACAGACGAGTTACGCACTCAGTCACCACATGAACCGGTCCGCCATACACAACAACAACAGCATCAAAAACAAAAAGAACAACATCAACGACAAGTACAACGGCAAGAACAACAACGGCAACAACAACAACAACCAACAACAACAGCAATAGCAATCAGCAACCCGAAAACAAACCGTCACTCACCTGGACATCCTTAGTGGCACTGGAAGCGGCATTATAGATTGTGACCTTTGCAGTGTGCAGGCCGTCCTGGGCAAAGACGTGATTGATGTTCTGAGTGCCCCCGGGTGTGGTAATGGTGAAGGGTATTGGAGGAGACAACACACTACCGTCTCCGTAGTAGTCGATGACGATGCTAGCGCCGTCAGGAAGGGGCGACAGGCTGTATGTTATGGTGAACGTGCTGGAGGCTGTATGAGGGTCGTAAGAAGGAAGGGGTCGTGGAGAGTAGAAGTCAGGAGAAAAAACGGGAAGGGGTGGGGGTGGGGAAAGGGGTGGAGTAATTACAGGAAGGTGATAACATTTGCATACTGTCTGTGAGAGAATATCGTGATATAACTTCTCTATCTCTCTCTCTCTCCCTTCTCTCTCTCTCTCTCTCTCTCTCTCTCTCTATATATATATATATATATATATATATATATATATATATATATATACAAATATGGTTATATTATGTGTATATATATAAATAATATACTCTTTGAGAACATTTACTTTTCTGTCTTCTTGTATCCTTATGTCCCAGTGCTTAACAACACAAAACGTTTTACTTAAATGTTACTTACGTTTGTGTCATTTATAATATTATAGCAAGTTTCGCAGAAGTCTTTTCTGTAATATTTTAATGCTTTATATGATGTGGGCTAGTGGCCTTAATTACTGAATAAAATACCTTCCTACCGACTTACTTACTTGAGTCACTATAGCTCTACTTTAATTATGCTGTAGGTGCTACAATAATTCTTTTCTCTGTCTCTGGTCCTCTGTCTATCTGTTTCCTCAGTTACAGTTAAATTCTCGTCTATCGTCTCTCAAATTCTCCTCCCAAAATAGCAAAATGCTGTCGTGGAACAACAATCATTTAAGTGTAAACCTAACAACAGATAGAGGAACTATTAAACTCGAACATGACGTTCATTGTCTTTTTTCATATTAGCGAAATGAAACCGAAAACAAAGTTACGAAGCGTGAACTACTACTCCAAAGTCAGACAGGGGGCTCTCGTGGCCTAGGGGTTAAGGTGTTGGCCTCTCATTCAAAGGTCCCGGGTTCGAATCCAGGTAGCGACCGAAAAATTTTCTTCTCTAAATTTGTTTCCTTTCACCTCATTTCCTGCTCTCTAGCAATGTTATGTCGTCTGCTTTCGTCTCCTCTTTCTGCCCCCACCACCTCATCTCCTTTGCCCCTCCCTCTGGGCTCCTGATTCTTACTGCTGCCTTTCTACTGCTACTCCTTGGCTTCTTCTTACTGCTGTCTTTCAGCCACACCCCTGATCTTCTGGTAGGAAAGATTTACACCTAGCCTTCTCGGACAAGGGCAAAAAATCTCGGAGGGCCCGTGTGCAAGTTGCGCACGTTAAAGATCCCTTGATGGTCTAAAATCGATAAGAGTAGGCTTCGGCCGCCACCCGGGCAAAATTCAAAATTTCCTATCAACTAAAAATAGTAGGTGTGTCCAGCGCACTCATATGACCTTATGCAGTTGCGAGCGCCGTAAAACACTTTACAAAAACAAACAAAACAAAAAGCCAGACAACTAAAAAAAAACATCCCGTAAGACTACGTTTACAACTTATTGTAATAAAGAAACTGTTGGGGAAGGGGGAGGGGGAAGTGGGCGGTGGGAAGGGGGGTGTGGGAAGGAGGTGGGGGTACAGGAATACTGCTCACAGCCTTGCGGGGTATCGGGAGTGTTGATGGTCACTGCAGAATCCACGACAGGGTTTATGACGTTGATGGTGACGGTTTTGCTCACAGACTGTGCCAGGGGGGCGGTGGCAGTCACTGTGATCACTTTACTGCCCAGAGTTGTGTACGTCACGGCCTGTGTGTCGGCGCCGTTCTCGCCGACTCCTGGGATACACAGCAGGTAGAGCCTACAATGTCAGCTAGTTAATAACGTAAAACTGAAGTGATCATTATTTTGCTTTCTTTACATTTATTGATCTTGTCGGTAGCTATCAGACTGCCAGTGTCTGCCTTGTTTTTTTCTATCTGCGTCTGTCTCTATCGCTGCTTCTATTTGTCTTTGTCTATGTCCCAGTCTCAGCCTGCCTGTCTGTCTGTCAGTCTCTCACTCTATCTATCTATCTATCTATCTATCTATCTATCTATCTATCTATCTATCTATCTATCTATCTATCTATCTATCTATCTATCTATTTATCTATCTATCTATCTATCTATCTATCTATTTATCTATCTATCTATTTATTTATATATATATATATATATATATATATATATATATATATATATATATATATATATATATATATATATATATATATATAAATTATCATTATGTATCTTATTGATCTATGGTGTGGATGATCATGGTCCAAGCGCTTCGGTACTTGAGACGTTTTAGGGAGTTTTTAAAGCTCTACAGCCACCTGGATCGGTCCTATCGGAGATAGACCTTGAACTCGCAGGACACGCCTTAAAACGAACTTTGCAGTACTTTAGGGGCATGAAACCGTTACATTTGAATGGGAAGGGTCATTAATGCCCAGTTTCATTCAAAACCTTCTTGACCGGCGATTATCATAAAGTTAGCAGAACAGACGGATGGGGAAGGATAGAAATAAAATCAATCTGTGTTTCAGTTTACTTCTTCGTTTAACACTTTTAAAGCCCAGTTAACTCTCTGATAATATTATGGGGACAGTAAGTTGAAGTAGACTAAAGGAATAATAGACCTAGATGAATACTAATCTGTACCCTTGTGGCCCGCTCAGACTTCATGGAAAGGCCTTCTGATTCATTGTACTTGTATGTTTTCCGCCCCCATCTGCACAGTTTAGATCGTACATGAATCGGGCCTTTTCGACCTTGCTTGTCAGGGCAAGTTTGGGCTGAGAAAGATGTCCCAGAAGACAGATTCTGATGCTCGATGATCAAAACCTCCTGAATGGAAATCGAAATCACGCTTCGTGTGTGCGACAGAGAAACGCCTGCCGAACTGCAACGAGCCATACGCCGTTTGGAAGGCCTGTTCATTTATATAATATATACTAATTTAGCGTTTATGCTAAAGTTCCAAATCTAAAACTTCTGATCTATGTTGTGTCACACAGGCTGAAAAAAGAATAACTTAAACAGCGCACAAGAGTAATAAAGTTTCCCCCCCATCAAATACATTCCTAGTATTTTTAAATGCCACATTGTTACTGAAAATTCCGCATTGTAAGATGCATTGTCATATTGTGACTTCAAATGTACAATAGAAATATTTCCATAATAACACCATGGGCTTGCGATTGTCAATGCAACATCCTTTTAAATTCAAATATAGCATTATAACTTCTAATATAACTTTACGTTTGTTGGTCGCTAAATGCTTCTGTCGCGAGGATATCAAATTGAAACTTACGTTGAGAAACAAACTAAAGAGTAGATCTAGAGACCCACTCCCTTTAAAATTGAATTGCTAAAATGCCAACCCAACCCGTCTTCTTTTTTAATCGCACGAGAAGTTGGAGATTTCATAGAGCTCGGACACATAACCCGCGCTTATATCAATATAGTCTTCAAGAACATAGAGGCCAATTTGTCAGCATATTTGATAAGGGAAGAATTTCATGTAAATTTTTTGAGTACTAATGTTTGTTTACTCTAAACTGTCGACTTTTCTCCATGATTGCTTTTAACCCCTCCTTTTTTATGTGGAATTACATTTGAAGTTTTTATGTGGTATTGAAGTTGTGAATTTGATATAGCTGAAGTGTGTACATGTTTGCATTTGAACGTTCTATGTTTATATTTGAGGTTATTTCGTGCCATTTGAAGTTACAAAGTGGTAATTGAAGTTTCTATGTGACGTTTGAAAACACTGGGCGCTCATTTGATTGAAAAACCCCAACTATAACAATAGTTTTATTATTTCTACGTCGATATCAAACATGTATGACAGAGTCTGTTGTGCAGTGAGTAGGCACTTTGACGTCGCAAGCAGAAGACCTACTTTTGTTTTCCGGGTGGACAGAACTTTTATGTGAAAGTATCTTCGCCTTTCTGCTGGGCGGTTGTATCCGTTTTAACAGGCTTAGGTCGCAGCCCGCCTTCTTAGTGATCTAAATTGTGCCGATGTAAAATATCTACATTGAAATAAAAAAAGGAACAATAGATATGTCTAGAAATGCATGGAGTGGAACTCATCAGTCGTATTTAGCCCTGTGATGATGACGTACCTTGTCTCTGTGTCACAGTGGGGCTGTTGCCGTCCCCGAAGTCCCAGCTAAGCTGAGTGAGGGCTCCTTGATCTCCTCTGAGACAAATTATAACATTGAAGCAAAGGTTTATTTACAGTAAATGCACCAATTGAGACATAGCATGATGTCATTATGGGTTCTTGTTTATTTGAAAATAAAGTTGAAGTTCAAGAACAAGTGCTGCTTTAAAAGATATTTTTACATACTATGAAATGCAATAACAAAAGACTGGTTTAAAAAAAGTATATTATCAATTTGTAAATCGTGTCAAATAAATGAAAAAAAGAGGGAAATGTTAGGAGAAAATAACTGATTAGCAATTCAAGTTGACAGCACATGCAAATCATATGATTGGATACTATTTCGGGCCAAACGTTCACGACGATGAATCTCACACTGCAGCTTACTAAAGAGCTACTTCCTACTTTCAGGTCACATTTAACAATATTACAATATGTCACTTTGAAACGCCTGTTGTCAGTAAGTTGTAGCCAATTTTGTATGCTGTTAGTCCCCGGTATTTGCTTTAATGAATGTCAGATCTAAAACAAAACAAACTAATCAAATAAATAGATATTACAAAAGAAGTTCTGTAAGCTGCCAAGTGTACCCACCGGTACATTTTGAAGGTCACGTAATAGGGCTGGTTGAGTGGGGCGGACGTGAACTCCAGGGCGATCTGCGGGTCCACTAACTTCTCCACCACGATAGCCTTATGGCTGTATGTGCGACTGCCCAGGACGTTGGACATCTTGACGGTGACATGGTAGTCCAGTGTGTCGTCTAGCTGGCGCCTAGAAGAATGTATAATATATA